AGCGTTAGTAAACAGTTTAAAACTGCAGCTACATATCCTGTATTCCTGACTTACAACCACATTTATAATGTGCTTAATAATTGTACGTTCATACTTTGTTAGGGATAATTTTTTATTACTAAATTAAGTTTGAGTAGAGAAGCACAATGTTTATGATAAGTTGGGGGCTGAGCGGGCCAGAATTACGGTGGCAGGCCAGATGACCGTCAGGCCATCGGAAAGTCCCGGTGCTCCCTATGGCCAGTCCACCCCTGAGTTTTACCATTTTCTGCTGTTTATTATTCCTGATCATTTCCCCAATAGACAATATAATTGGAAGTTCTAAAACAATAGCAAATGTGATCAGGTCACTGCTATGATATGATTGACAATTTATGTACATCGCTGTTTGTCTTTGTGCTCTGTTTATCCTGAGAGCTGATGCTATTCTAAGGGCTTTTGACTCTTGAAATTGTTAACCCTGGGCCATTCTAACACTGGATAAACAGAATCCTGTGTTGTCTGTAATCTCGTTCCACACTGCTCATGCTATACCTGGTGTTCATTAACAGACGTTTCACAATCGTAAACCCGGGTTAACATTGTTATTTATATATTTATGTTTTCAATGTCCCTGACTGGACAAACAGCAGGTCACCTTTTTAGATGGCATTTCTGCATCTTGTTGGGTTAACAATATCTGGAAATCAGGAGAAATACCAGCCTTTTAGAAAGTAGCTATTATTATACCAATACCTAAACCAAGAAAAGATCATTTAAATAATTATCGTCCAACAGCACTTACCAGTTGCCTTTGCAAAACATTGAATCAAATGATTAACGTGAGATGTGAGTGGATTTTAGAAAAAGAACAGAAGATTAATAAATATCAGTGTGGGTTTAAAAGAGGGAAAAGTACTCTTGAATATCTTATACGATTAGAATCTTTTGTACGAGATGGTTTAATTAAAAAAGAACACATAGTAGCATTTTTTTTTTTTGATCTGAAAGGCCTATGACACTACCTGGAGGTATGGTATTTTAAAAATTTACATGAGATGGGCTTTAGATGAAATTTTATTGTACATTTTTTTTATTCTATAGAGTTTTTGGTGTGCATATTAAAAGTATTTTATCTGAATTGCATATACAAGAATCAAGGAAGTATACTATCAGTAACACTTTTTAGTAGTAAAATTAATAATATTGTAAATGTTATTGGGAATAATATATTTCATAGTTTAACGGTAGATGATGTATGTATTTGTTATAAAGGGAAAAATATATAATCGAGAGACAAATTTAAATATTAATTTATCATTCATTAATTTTTTTTTCAGCTTAGTCCCTTTATTAATCCGAGGTCGCCACAGCGGAATAAACCGCCAACTTATCCAGCACGTTTTTTAGCAGCGGATGCCCTTCCAGCCGCAACCCATCTCTGAGTAACATCCACACACTCATACACTACGGACAATTTAGCCTACCCAATTCACCTGTACCGTATGTCTTTGGACTGTGGGGGAAATCGGAGCACCCAGAGGAAACCCACACGAACGCAGGGAGAACATACAAACTCCACACAGAAACGCCAACTGAGCTGAGCTGAGGTTCAAACCAGCGACCTTCTTGCTGTGAGGCAACAGAACTACCTACTGCGTTGCCTCAAATTCAAATATGTATGACTGGTCAGTTTTAAATTTTCTAAATCAAAAATTGCAAGCATGCATTTTTGTCTTTTAAGATCTATGCATTTAGATCCAGAGCTTTTTTTAGATGTACAAGTTGTGAAAGAGGTAAAGTTCCTAGGAATGAGTTTTGACAAGTTTCCTTTTATTCCTCATATTAAAGTATTACGAAATGAATGTTATAAAAGTTTTAGCAAAGATCAAATGGGTTGCAGATTGGGCGATACTCTTAAGACTATGGAAGCATAGTTTACTGAACTGCAAGGATTCATTCATTCATTCATTTTCTTGTCGGCTTAGTCCCTTTATTAATCCGAGGTTTTCACAGCAGCATGAACCGCCAACTTATCCAGCACGTTTTTACGCTGTGGATGCCCTTCCAGCCGCAACCCATCTCTGGGAAAGATCTACAAGGATATCATGCATAAAGATGCTTGATACAATACATCATACAGGACTGAGACTTGCTCTTGAAGCATACAGGGCTTCTCCAATTCAAAGTTTACACACGGCAGCAGGAGAAATGTCACTGTACAGCAGAAGATTGAAACTGGCTCTTAAATATGCAGTCAAGCTGAAAGCTAATAAAGACAATCCAGCATATTCTACAGTTTTCCCCCCTCAATATCAGCACCTATGTGAAGCCAGACCCAGATACATCAGACCTTTTGGAATTCGAATGAAAATTCACTTGGAGAAGTTGGATAATAATCTGGATATAATAACAACGATGCATGTATGCACTATACCACCTTGATATATTAAAAAAGCCATCTATTATAATGCACCTGTCTCAGTTTAAAAAAGGGAAATCCACCCAAATGTTTATCAGGAAGAATTTATGAATATCCGATGCAATCTACCAACTTATGTACCAGTGTTTACAGAGGGTTCAAAATCAGATGGACGAGTATCTGCTGCAGCAGGGATTGGTTCAGAGTGTTTCAGAAAGAGTATTCCCGGTCAAAGCTTGATATTAAAAGCTGAAGGTTGTGCACTGTTTTTAGCTCTGGAACAAATAGAAAAAGAACAGCAAAGACAGTTTATAATTTGCACAGATTTTATCCTGTTTACAAGCACTTGAATCTCTGAAAACTGATCATACTATGATTTTAAGCATTATAAAAAAAGTGGACCTTTTAAAGATTAAAGACTTTGATATTATTTTCTGCTGGATACCTGGACATATGGGATTCATTGAAAATGAACGTGCAGATAAAGCAGCTAAGAAAGCCATACAGTTGGAGATTACAGAATGTAAAATTCCTGTGTCTGATATTAAACCTATTTTAAAACAGTATATTAACGAGAAATGGCAAATGGAATGAAATGAATGTAAGAATAACAAATTGCATGAAGTGCATCCATATTTAAATGAAAGAAATAATTAACGTTTTGAAAATAGACATGACCAGATTGTACATACAAGATGTAGAATCAGACACTCAAGACTTACACGCATATTTTTTAAGAGGGGATGAAAAACCTATTTGTGACTTGTGTAAGAATATTTTGACGATAAAACATATTTTAATAGAATGTGGATTTTTTTATGACATTAGCAAACGTTTTTAATCGAGAAATATTTTAAGTGAAATGTTTAATAAAGGTGCCTTTTGGAGCACTTTTAGAATATTTATCTTTAATCAAACTAAAAGATTGTATGTGACTGTTTTTAGTGTTGCTGCTACTTGTATAGTTTTTGTTGTTTTTTTTACAATGTATTTTTTTTAAGAAACAGATTCGACTTTATGGTTAGATATATTGTATATTTATTAGTATATGTTTTTGCCATGAATATAGCCAATGCTGCTTTTATGGCATTAAAAAATAAATAAATAAACAATATCCATTAGTATGAACATTGCTAACTGTAAGGTAGAGTGACAGGAGCAAGGCCGGCGCGTCCATAGAGGCACCTAGGCGACCGCCTAGGGTGGCAGAATAGAGAGGCGCGACATCTCCCTCAACACCCGCGTCCTCGGTTATGTCCGCGACCCAGCACCTCCCTCACTCCCTGCTGCCTAAGTTATTTCCGCGCCTAGGGCGGCAGAATAGAGAGGATGGCGTCCGCGACACCTCAGTTGTGATAAAGTGGTTAGCACTGTTGCCTCACAGCAAGAACATTACTGGTTCTAGTCCTTACCAAGCCAGCGAACGTTTCTGTGCCGAGTTTACACGTTCTCCCCGTGCTTACGTGGGTTTCCCCCGGGTTCCTCCCACTGTCCAAAAACATGCAACTTAAGTTAATTGACTAATGCAAATCTGCACCATAGACGTGCTCCTAGTAAGTTGTTATCTCTTAAGAGTAATCACTACTCCAGCAGAGTAGTTCTCGAGATCTACCTGACCTCAAACTCCCCTCTCGCTTTGCAAACTGGAGGAAGCCCTGGGCTCAAGGATCTTGTGAGCTCAGGGCTCTCACAAGACATTATGCCAAACAAGCTTTATAATCAATCATCAGCTAAGTGTAAACTTTTGAAACGATAGTTAAAAACAAAATATTATGTAATATAAAACACAATTACAACTTGTTAGTACTTTTATCTGGGTTAAATTCTAGTACATCATATTTTAACTGTACCATTAGAACTTTATAACATTACCAAAAACACTCCACCTCTTCACGGAGATTGTCAGCCTGATCTGGTGTATTATTCAACTACCATGGGTTCTGTAACAGAACAATAATGGTGTTCCAGATGCTGGACATCCACTGGCACTACATCCTCATCAATTTAACAGTAAATCTTCCTTCTTTGCCATTCTGTGATCCGTTAGGATTCGCCGCTATTCGATTTCGCTGTAGAACACGCTATGCGGACGTAAAGACTGATATTCTACTGGAAATACGTCAGCAGAGTTCGTGCATAGAGTCCATATACTATAACTTCTATGTTAAGCGGCTTTGACACAATTTACATTGTAAAAGCACTAGATAAATAAAGATTAATTGAATCGAATCTGCTTAAATGTGCACACGATAATGGTCCAAACAAAATATCTGATTTATTTTACATTTAATGTGCATCAAAATTACAGTGTGTAAACAATCTTTTCAATTTTTTAGCTTTCGATAGGAGTTTTTTAAACTAAATGAAAAGTAATGTTTTATTTATTTATTTCAGACCTAATTAAAGAGAATGAGGGGAGTAAAGAAGAGGAACATCATGTCAAAATTGAGGATAAAACTCATTTACAGACTGATGGTATTTTGAAAAGTAAAGACAAGAATCGTTTCACCTGCACTCAATGTGGAAAGAGTTTTAAAAGAAAAGGCTATCTTAAGATTCATATGATGATCCACACTGGAGAAAAACCATTTACATGCAGTCAGTGTGGGAAGAGTTTCAGCTGCTCATCACACCTTAATCAACACATAAGGATCCACACTGGAGAGAAACCATTCACATGCACTCAATGTGGGAAGAGTTTCAGCCAATCATCACACCTTAATCTACACATGAGGATCCACACTGGAGAGAAACCATTCACATGCACCCAGTGTGGTAAGAGTTTTAACTGCTCATCGAACTTTTATCAACACATGAGGATCCACACTGGAGAGAAACCATTCACATGCACTCAGTGTGGGAAGAGTTTTAACTGCTCATCAAACCTTTATCAACACATGAGGATCCACACTGGAGAGAAACCATTCACATGCACTCAGTGTGGGAAGAGTTTCAGCCAATCATCATCCCTTTATATACACATGAGGATCCACACTGGATAGAAACCATTTACCTGCACTTAAGCCTTGGTCACACTGGACTTTTCCCCATAGACTTCTATTCATACGCACGCAAATGCGTCAAGACAGGAAACGCAAGTTCGTGTGTAAAGTTTCGCAGTTCACTGCTTTGCAAAGTTCAAGCTTGGTGAACTCTGACCTGCGAAATCGCATCACTTGACTGTGTGAGAAAAGATCAAAACATGACCTCTCTAGACAGAAATTTAAAATATGGACCAATCCCTCAACTTTTTAATGTCTAATCATCTTGTTTAATCCCGCCCCTTTTTGCAACACCATACAGAATTTCGCATGCTCAAACTCTAGTGTCCGCAGCTTTGGTGTGGGATGACTTTCAGCAACTCATCAGACCTTAATAAACACATGAAGACACATTGGAGAGAAACTATTCACATGCACTTAGTGTGAAGAGTTTCAGCCGATCAGCAAACCTTAATGAACACATGAAGATGCACACAGATGTGAACGAGTATATATGCTTTAGTGTAAGAAGACTTTTAGGTAAGACTTTCTTTTACAACCCACAAAGTACCGCGTAAGTACAGTGAAATAACGGTGTACTTTTCTGTACATATTGTATAAGTATAATGAATGTATGTGTAGGTAATAGAGAACAAACTGAAATGCTTGGGTAGTAAGGGGGTAACAACCAGATATTCAACAGGAAAATTACCACGTAAGTACATTGAAATAACGGTGCACTTTTCTGTATGTATAGTTTAAGCATAAATAACGTGTGTGTAGATATAAAGGGAACAAACTGTAATGCTTGGGCAGTAAGGGAGTAACAACCAGATATTCAACATGAAAAGTACAGTGTAAGTAAATTGAATTTACGGTGTATTTCTTGTTAAATTGCAAAGGAACAAACCATTATGTTTGGGTAATAAGGGGGTAACAATAAGATATTCAACACGCAAAGAACCATGCGAGTACATTGAGTTTACGATGTACTTTTCTTTAAATATTGTAAATATATAGAATTATGTAAGGGTGGTGACAACCTAATGCAACCTGTAAATGTACATGCACCTGCGTAAGTACATTAGTACTCTTATTCAGTGCTTGGGTTTTATATGGGGTGTTTATTGAATAAAAGGTTTACAACCTGTGAAATTATGAACTCTTATTGTATACTGTATGTATTTTAAATCTGCAATTCAATATAAAAATATATGTCCATACACTACTTACCTTATGAATGTTTACTCGTCGATCTCACTACAGCCATCAATGTCTCAACATCACTATCAACAAATAACTTTGCATGGTATAGGCCTACCGTCAGGGTTCAATGCAGATGAAAACAGGCTAGCATCTTTACTGCTGTTTGCAGAGGGGGAGGACTAACTGTTGCAATTCAGTGAATGTATAGCTGATGCTTTATAGAAAAATGTAGTAATTTGATCTTCAATCAAATAAAATTGCTGCTGTAGTTTTCTCTGTTCTGAGTCAAGTATACACTAGTGTGTTGAAGTGTGTTCCATGTAGTTAAAAGGACAATTACAGCATTTGTTCCCTGTACTAAAAGGGAAATGAAGCACTCTGTCAAGTTTATGTTATTGTGTAGACCAATTTCCACTTTATTGAAAAATATATAACAAACATGTTTAAACATAACCATTTAGAAGAAAATAGGGTGTTTATCATAGATTTTATTGCAAGGGCGAAAAAAGGAAAAACCCTCTAATAGGATCAGAAGCTCGAGTATGCAGGGATCATTTTTTGGAGGAAGATTACATTGAGATCTTTGAGTCAGAAAAATTAGTCAGTCATCGCACCAACAAACTGAGACCTGAAGCTGCTCTGTCTGTTTTCAGGCTAAAATGCGAGCTCAACGGACCTCCCAACTTTCTCTGTCAAAAGTGACATATCAGTCCGTCGAAGGGAAAGGGCTCTAAAACGTGCCAGCTAGGTAATGAAGAGACCAGTATGTCCATAAAAACTGTATTTAACAATTGTACAAGTACCTCTCTCCCAGTGAGACCACACGCACTAACGTTAGCTTCAGACGGTTCTACTTATGAGTGAAAACTTCCATAATTAATTGCCATCTTTTAAAAAAAATATATGTGCTGAGCTGGCCTTGGACACGGCGTTATGATATAAAGAGGGAGAAACAACACAAGCAGACCTCTTTTAGGTCAAGTACCGGACCTAGTTGAAACACTTGGAGGTGTGTCAAAGAGCCGAGGGGCGGCACTGGCCTCCTGTAACCGATCACTAGAGTAAGACCAGAATTAAATGCGAGGTGAAATAAAGGGCAAAAAAGACGGGTTATCGTCAATAAGCATTGCAATGCGCACTTTTAAACCACAAATGCTGGTCTTGCTCTAGATATGGGGTACACGTCCACGACTTCATGCATTGCATAGATTCGTCTTTGCGAAACACCTAATGACTCAAGACAACTCGTTTGAAGCACTGAGTTGTCTCTTTTATAGATGAATCAACAGTTTTAAACACTGTACACTTACAGATTCAGCCTTAGCTGGATATATCACTTCACTTAGAGCTGTTACACACTACATGGAAGAGCATTTTCAAAAACCCATAATATGGACTCCTTTTTTTTTTTTAAACTGTTTTTCTTTTTATTAGAACACAACACAAAATCAGAGATACATCAGAAATAGTCAGTAAGGATACAGATAAATAATTATATGCAAGATACGATGGGACCATCGCAACTGGCCCACCTTTACAGGTACTCTGCCCTGCACCAACTGTGAGCCAGTGGCATAATTCCCCCCTCCTTTTTAGTGTTGAAGTTATATATAAAATATATATTAAAAATAATAAATAAATAAAAAGGAGGGGGGTGTGGGGGCAATTGGGAGAAATCTCATACTTATCGTGTATGTAATGTGGTTGTTTATTAAATCTATGTTGTATGTTTAAAGTAACTGATGTATAATTGTTAGAATTTGGATCCATCTTGCTTTAAATATATTCATCTGGAGTCTAAGGCAATAAGTTATTCTTTCCATTTCATAAATTTCTCTAATTGTTTTTATCCATTTTTCATACATAGGTGGGTCTGATCTGAGCCAGTTAGACATGATACATTTTATTGCTGCAGGAAGCAGTATTTGAAATAAATACTTCTTCGTTCCACCATGCTCTCCGGCACCATACCCAGGACTGCCACAGTTGGATCAAAGGGAATATCAATACAGAATATGTCTCTAAGTACCTTATAGATATCATTCCAAAATTGCTGCAGTTTTGGGCAATACCAAAAGATATGAGAGTTGTTCCCTAAATCAGGGGTTTTCAAACTGGGGCCACGGCGCTAGGGGGGCCGCAAAGAAATTTTAGATCAATGGATGAACTTTGTGTCCTGCATCATTTTGAAGGTTAATATATTTTTATTATAATTTGAGCTCAAAAGTACTGCAAAAATGAAGCTTTATACTTATGTCATTTAAATGCAGTTGACACTTTCGTGACACAGGAAAAGAAGCCCAGCGGCCCGCCTCCGTGGACGGGGACTTTTATTGAATAAGTGCTTCTGGCCAGGCGCTTCCTGACTGTGATTTTTGGCGCTTGTCTGCTGCACCTGACGGCGTTTACCTTTCACTTACGCTTACCTCTTTTACGCTAAACAACTAAATGAATGCTCAGGTTTGACTAACTATATTTCAGTTAAAATTCATGATCAATAAGAACATTATCGGAGGCTGAAAGCACTTCCCTGTTTATGGCTTGCGTTCCTAAGTAACCGATCAGCTGGGTGCTGCGGAGCGCGCGCCTCTCTGCGCAGGCTTCACTCATAGGAAACAAATAGCATTTTAAAGACACGGCACAACATTGCACCTCGTCCACAGCGCGACAGGCTTTTACACTTTGCATTGTACAAATATCAGACTTTGCAGCATGGCAAACAAACATATTAAAATTGTAAAGCAAAAAGTGCTGCAATAACAATGAATGGAGCTGTCATCACATCAGCGAGTGCTCAGTTTCACTCCTGTTACACTAATGACAACTGGATGAGCTCTGCAGTGGACCTCTTACACATTGGTTCATAACTGGATGATTAAAAAAACTAAATTGTATACACACTGAGTAAAACCACTATAGCCTTTAAAAATTATAATGTATCTGTTTGTGTTATGTTATAGGGCTAATAATTATTAAATATTAAAATGTATTAGTGCTCTGTATTTAATGGAGCTCAACATACCTGATCAAATTTTAATACTCTGAATATAAATGCATTTTTGTTCCACTTTTTCCCATATTTGTTTGTGTAACTAATTTAAATGTAATGTTCAGTATTATTATTAATAGAACAAACTGGTATGAACATTTTAAAGTCAGCAAAGCTTCTAAAATTAAGCAAAGTAAAACTTGTGGCTCTTTGAACTTGAATACCCAATTCTAGATTGCATTTAGGAAATTATTTTTTTTATCAGTGTAAGTCAGGATTGTCGACCTGAGTAAATTATGATGTGCACAAAAAAAAAAAGGAATAAAAATAAACAAAACACACTGAACCACTACAGCCTAAATTGTAGTATTGCTAGTTACAACAGTAAAGGTAACTGTTAACAGGCTGATGATTTCTTTAAAACTTTAAAGCTTTAAATTTTAGATACATTTAGACTCTCAGCTGTAAGGGTAAATACAGAAGAGTCTAGCTGTGCATAGGCTGAAAAAAAAGCATAAAAATGGCATAAACACTGTGTAAAGTGACGACTTGTACACAAAATATGGCTTGATGGAATAATCCAGTGAGAGCAGACCACAATGAGTACTGCGCATCAAGATTTGATCAATAGATTGAAGCACTAAAACCATGTCAACTCAACTAACATCTTACAAAAATTAATCCAGATAATGAATCATATAAATTTATTGAATAATATATAATAATATAAATGTATTGAATAATACAATTTAAAAAAAATAAAGTACAGTTGTTAATTTGAGGGGGTGGCGTCATTTTTATTTTTGGGGGTCCCCGAAA